GTATATATGCTCAACTATTCACGAAGCATAATTTCAATCAGCTGCACAGTTATGCAAGATACTGTGGGTAAAAGAAATTAAATCTATAACTATTTACATGGAAGAAGCTGTAAGAAATAAATGTTTGATATTTCTGCCTTTACTGTAATATATATTGTACATATATTTATTACTCTCCGATTTAGCCATTCTTATATTTTGCTTGTTTTATGTTATTGTATTTTTTTTTGCACACCTCTGTTGCTTGTGAAGCTCGCACACAAGAATTTCACTCGCATGTACTGTACCAGTGTACCTGCACATGTGATGTGACAATAAAAGTGATTTGATTTGATTTATTTGCAATTACACAATTTCTAAATATTAAATTGCTAAATCTATGTGCTTGAAAATCAGTAAAATGTCAGACACTCACAAGATTCCCTGTTGTCTGATTTACTCAGCTCACAAAAAAGCTAAGAAATTATCAGGTTTTCTAAAAAATAAAATAAAATAAAAAAAATCCCCTTAACAGCAATAAAATGAAGGAAAAAAGAAATCTCTGAACACTCGTGTTTGTCTACTGCGATGTGATGCATTATACATCACTTGCTGTACTGTCCCGTCTCGTGTGCGCCATGGCGCTCTGTTGTTGTTAAGCTTGAATGAAGCTGTGACGAGCATTAATGTTAAAGTGACCCACATCCGAATGACAGACTTCTGCTACTTCAACAGAGCGTTACACCGCAGAGGGGCTTTAGTTTTCAAAGTAAAACATTTCTGCTAATGGACACAAAAATACTAAAATTAAATATAATTACTAGATAACCAATCTGTAAAAGCCTTTGAAAACAGCCTCTTATGAGTCAGACTATAGAAAGTATTTCCTTAGGTGGAATACCAAATACCAATCCTGTCTTTGGAAAACACTGCTCACTGCTGGCATTAATAAAAAAGCCATTACCGAAAATTAGTACAAAACTGTGCTGGATACCCTCAAGCAGTGGACAGACACAGCTGAATAATCTTTATAATGAAAAAGAGATGTTAAGGAGTGACCGTCTCCAGTAAAAACAGAGAAAAGAACTGCCGAGATTACAGTGGAAGAGGAGGAAGAGGAGGTTTCCTTCCCGCGATTCACTTGTGTCAGACAGAAACTGACACAAACACGCCATGATAGGTTAAGCTCTTGTTGGGTTCTTGTTTCTTTATGTAATTTATCAATTAATAAATAACATTTTCTGGAAAAATAAAACTATTCTTTAACTTAGTTCTTGTAACATATAATTAAAGCCAGTTTCTTTTAAGGGAAAAATTCAGAAAGAAAGTGTACTGAAGAAGGAAACTGCATTCAATAAATCTAAAAGGTGAAAACATATGCCCACTCATAAGTCAAAAGGCGTGTTGTTACTGCTACGACTTCTCCACCCACCTCTTTGACCTCCAGCAGCCGGCCTGGGTATTGACTCTTGGCTCGTCGAGCTGCAGCTGGAGATTTGTGGTGAGTGATCGTGACGATGTTGCTGGGTGTGGCGGGGTGACCCAGGTGCCTCGGAGATCCCGGGGATGAAGTTGGTGTTAGGTGGGGAAGGAGGGAGAAACTACGGGTCCGACCAGAGGAAGAGGAGCCCTGGAAGATGGGATTTAAAGATGACAGGAACATGATGATGTAAAGGAAAAAGTAAAGGAAAATAAAAAATCTATACATAATGATTAAAAAATAAATAAATAAGGGTTTAGTAAGATGTATTCACTATTACACATAAATGGAGAGTAGTTTTATGTTCATGAGCTTCATGCTAGTGTTAATGTTGTGCGTTTTATTATGATGTCACCTAGTGACACGGATCCGTCACTTCCAACTCATCACAACCAACGCCTTAAAACCTTTAAACTCACTGGGTAAGTCCTGGTAAATGAACTATTACTTAAACCGTACTAATCTTACTGAGCACTACACGCCACTTTCATCCAGTGACACACAATCGTACAATGATTTGTGCTACAGTCATGTGGCAAAAAAAGTACAACCTCTTTCAATTTAAGATATTACATATCAGGACATAATGGAAGAAAAATGAACTGGTCCTAAACTGGTCTTGAAGTTAGGTAAATACAAGCTCATATGAACAATAACACATGACGTATTAAAGCATATTATTTATTTGTAAAATATAGTAGCAGGAGCAGTGTGTGAAGTACACCCTTACTGCTTTCTTAGGAACTAAGAGAGTAAGTAGCAGCCGGGCGCTGCTAATCAACTGCACTTAACTAACTGATGAGACTCTACAGGCCGCAGTATGTTAAACGTTCATGGCAGAACTATTTGGAAAAACAGCAACCGTTTTTCTCTAAAATGAGCATGACAGCAAAGCCAAAAAAGCCAAGACTCTCCTTAAGACAGATGAGACCAAAGTGGAGATATTTGCTCACATTTGCACAGCAAAAACAAGCACAGCATACCACCTGTCAGGCAGTGGTTGGGGCCTGTTTTGCAGCCACAGGACCTGAACACCTTGCGGTCAAAGAGAAAACTTGGAAACATACCAAAGTATTTTACAGTCAAATATGAGGCCATCAGTCTGGCAGGTAAATCTGGCCTGAAAGTGGTCATAGCCCCTATTTACCAATATGTGAAAACACTAATTTACCATTGGATTTATGGGATATGTGCCAGCCTCCCGTTCTGTTCTAACCACCATGTGTACGTTAATAAATCAATTGCAAGGGAAAACCCTGCAGGAGAGAGTCCAACTGAAGAAAATGAAACAAATGTGTCCAAAGAGGAAGCCAGAAAACTTCCAGATTAAATGATGGCGGTTTGGACATCAATCAAAGTCAAGTGCTTAATCCATCAACTGCGGTGGGACCTAAAGAGAGCTGTGCATAGACGGATGCCTGCAAACCTCAACGAACTTTCGTCCATAACAATGTGAAGATACTGATAAAATCCAAACAGCTTAAAGGTGGCTCTGCCAACAACTGAATCATGGAGTCATTGCATTTTGGATTAGTTTGTGTTAAATAAATGTTGACACAGTGTGATGTGTCATGCATCTTGTTGTTCCCCAGTAAACTGTTACCTAAAAACATTTTTTCTCATACAAGCATGTGAATTGATAGGCGGTGGGTGCCTCAGCTGATTTTATCAAAGATAGAATCAGCCTTTTTGTTGTTTTGTTTCCCTCTGCGGCAAAGCTTAAGTCACATCAATCTTTCATTTGATGCCTCCTTTGCTCCCCTCTGTGACTCTTGTCTCCTCACTTCGCTGACCTCCATGCTCACACAGGCAGCGATGTCAGACCAGTATCTCTCTTCTGCCCTGCTCTCCATTAGTATACTGCAGCAGGAGCCAGCGCAGATTTATCCCCCAGAAGACCACAGAGGTCTGGTCACAGCAGCGGTGAAAATAAAATGGATCAAAAAACAACTTCCACCCCAGAGCACCACACAATGAGAGGGAAACAAATGGCCTTCCCGTTTTTGGTCAGAGATGCTGCTCACTCTGCAGTAACCGAGAGGATCAAACCCATCACGAACCTGCCGTTGTTACATACCACACAAATAATCAGGGGTCACTCCCTCTTCTTTTCAGATAATAAAACTGCTCACAAGTTAAGAATATTTTCCTTCTGATTAGATGCATCACCAAAGTCTAAGCAGAGGGAGGTACTGAAGGTCGGTACTTGTGAAGCAGTTCTAACAGAAGATAATCAGCTTACGGGAGAGTACATTGTTGTATTGTGCGCGGCTAAGCCACGAGCTATGAGTATGAGGAAAAGACAGTGTTTCGGGAGTGTGAACAGATAGACACGCTGAGGTTTTGTACTCCAAAAACTGGCACAGAGCCCCAAAGCACTTTAATAAACTGCAACAGAAAAAATAAGAAAGCTGTAAAGAAAAAGGAGGGCCAGAGCTGGAAGGAAGGAAGACAGACGTGTATTTACATAATTAGAGCTCTTTTAGTTAAGTGCATTCCTCTCTTACCATTTCACTTCTATCTAAAATTAACTGCTGAAATCGTTAAGTTAAATAAATAAATAACTCGGCAATTGCAAAGTTAATGTGATTATACTTTACTAACTTCACTTAAAGAGAAAAGCAGAGGTCTTACAGGTCTTACTGGGGGACAGGGCTCGTTCAAAGAAGGTGGCCTCGGTACACTTCCTGTTAGTCTAACCCTGCGGTACAGAAGTCCTATTTTACAACAACACTTGCGTGGGCAAACCTGGCCCTCTGCGAGGCATCAGGAGTAGACAGGAAAGTCAGCACCACAGGGAAAGACACTTATTACAAACAACTTGCTATTCAGCAATAAACTTGGTTAGAGTGTCTGAAAATAGCTTAATACTGAGACACTAAAATGGAAAAAAAGTACTGGGCCACAGACACATTACACCTGCAGCTGTTAGGCCACCAAAACCGAAGCCATGAAGCTCCCAGCACACAGATTTGTGCTGATGGTAATACCAGAGTTTTTAGTTCTCTCTGTGGTTAAATACTTGCTCATACAGTTTTCTCTCCACCTTTTTAGGGTTTTTACCCAACAATAAAGCACTATGAGGTGAAGGCTGCTGTAATTTGGCCTTATATAAGTGAAACTGAATTAAAATGAAATTGCAGTCATTGAGCTAACAGAGAGTTGGTGCCCTTTACACACTGGAAAACAACGCTCTTTAACTGCTGTGGTTCTTAAATGCTTTCATTTGCAACAATATAACTTACTATACACCAGAGAGTATGTAGGAGTGAAGAAACTTCTGACTGACTTGTTAACAGATATGGCCCATTACTTTGACGAGGTGGGTGTCCACTATGAAAACTTTCAAGTGTGAATTGATCAAAGTCTATTCAAAGGCTTAATCGAGCAGAAACAGCTGTATCAGTCTAACTCACAGGGCATATTTGCCTTCTTGTGCCCTCAGGAGGGGTGTTTGCACCTTTCCAGCTTCACAACAAAAGAAATAATAAGGTCACTGGCCAATTTATCAGACTGCTAATCAGCTTGATAACTTCAAAGGCTTTTACAGAGAAACTCTGAAGCCATGTCACGTGAATTTAGACTATCACAACAGAATGCTGGAGCCGGCTACCTGCAGGACTCAGCTGTGGCTGGAAAGGGGAACCCTGTTTGCTGACTCCAACAGATGCGACCTCTGATATTTTGGCCGCACTGCAATAAACAAGGTCAACTTGTCCTGTGGGAAATGATGGGAAGATCCTCAGGCGAAGAGATATAAGTGTCTATTCATTCATTTAAGAGTTAGTGCTTTGTTGAACATGGGGCTTCTTAGACTGGAAGCTGTATGTGATGCAAACAACGTGGCTGCACAGAGAAAGATGATGTATTATTCTGCACTTTCACTAGATTATCAACAAAGCAGGTTAAAACAGGAAACACATTTTAACAGCAAAACCTCACTTTTAAATGATCTTTATGTATTATATATGGCACAAAATGAAATGGTTAAGCGCCCCGCCACAAAATTTTGTAAGTTCAAAGTTTAAATTTCCGTTGAGATCTGTCCATAAATCTTTGAGTAATTCTGCAGGCCAAAAAAAAACAAAAAAACCCACACACACAAAGGAAAAACAGCCTAGTTACATCACTTGGTTCAGTTCTACTGCCCCCTCATCACTCCCTTTTACAGCACACAAACAAAGTAGCACAACATTAGCATGCTTCATTTTTTTAACCTTTAGACCTCATCATGTCTAACAATGCAGTCTCTCTTTACCGGCCTCATGCTCATAGGCGTGTTTGTGACTGGGATAGATATCCATTTATTGATAAAGATGTGTAAATGTGTTTATAGGAAATGAAGGACACGCTTTCTAGCAGTAAACTCTGTTGCGATCAGTCCAGTTGATGAATGGTGGTGATGACACACATAAGACTGATGATTATTAGTTACAGCGCAAGACTAAAGCATGATGGAAGGAAAACTGATTAAATATCACATTTTAAAATGTTATTAGCTTGGAATATAGAGCAATGTGAATGCACATGCCTCCGTAAATAATAACCATCAAGTTTTCTACAAAGCCATACCGAAATAGAAGGTTTAATCTTTTAACAGTGGCAAAAGGTTTACATGTCTCAGTGGTCGAATAGTGAGTTTCGGAGGATATCGGGGATGGCTCTGGGTGTAAATAAGATAAGATAAGATAAGATAGAACTTTATTAATCCCTCTGGTGGGTTCCTCTGGGAAATTCGATTTCCAAAAAAAGCACAGCAACGACCGAAGTACAGTTTAATCAAACAAAACAGGAAACAAAATAATATTTTTATCATTAAAATAAGAAATACAGACAATAATAAAGGTTAGCTAGGGTTGAAGATTACATGTATTTTCCTGCTGAGTGAATGTACTTCACACTGAACTGCTTGTATGCGTTTATAATGCTGACATCGAGGGGCAGAGAGGTGATGGCTGTGACAGCCTCAGAATAAATTTACATGTAGTTAAAAGTAAATGCCTTTCTGCTGCGTTTTCTCTTGGCTCCGGGCAGGCTGGGAGTGGCACTGGATATGTGGAGCAGTTGGACCGGGAGGAGGGCGGGGGCTGCCGGGTACTACTGGGTTTCTGACTTGGCTCTGTGGCTCCCTTCCCTTCTCTTCCCCACGTTGTGTTGGCCTGTGAGGTGCATTCCCTGGGGCCTCCCTGCAGACACGTTGCCTTGTCCCTGTGCCTGGCTCTTTAGGGTGTGGTGGGTGCCTCTCATTTCAAGGACTGGTAGGGGTGCAGGAGCTGTCAGCCTGGAGTGGACGCCTTGTGGGATTGGTCGTCATGCACTGTTGGAGCTGTGCGGCAGCCCCTGGGTTGGGGTAGCTGCTGTCCCACTTGGCCTTCGGATCGCTTTCTGCCTTTTGGCTTCTGCAGTATTGGTTGACTTATACCGTGTGTTCAGACTTTCCTGCATGGTTCTCTCACAGAACGTTGGTGTTCTCAGCTTGTTGGTCTTTGCTATTGGTTGTGGGGTTTCTGGACTTTTAAGTTCTTGTCACCTCATCAACACTTTTTGTTATATGTTTGAACTGTGAAGATTGGGGTGTTTTTGATGGGGATAGAGTTGTTCTCATAGCACAATTACCACACTGCTGGCTGCCTTCTATGCTTGTGTACGCACCTTAGTTCAATATTGGTTTCTGGCTCTCATCATGGTGCACTTTGCTGGCTTTTCAGGGGTTTTGGTATTATGGAGATTACAGGTATAGCTTTACAAATGCGCACACACACACACACACACACACACACACACACACACACACAAAGGAAAAGGGGGATGGGAGGTGGGAGGTGGGCCCTAACGATGTATCAGAATAATATTAATTGACGGATTGCTATTTTTGCTGACAAGTCAGTGTCTTACAGGCAAACTACAGGAAATGATGGCAATCTGCTAACAACCAAAGCAATCTCAAGGTGGTTTTCAGTGCTGCAGCATATATTTTTTGTTACTAATATCAACTAGAGACTATCAGCAACCTCCAGCAACCACTTCCCCACTGCTCCAAAATTACACAATTTTCCCCTACAGACTGATTTCAGGGGTTCTGTGTCCAGTCTCTGACTGAGGGCTAAAATGGACATGAAGCCACAGCTTAGGTTTCCAAAGTTGCAACTGAAGAAATCTAGAACAACCTTTCAGACAGACAAGATCAAGGCAGAAATATCTGCGCATAACGCACAGCACCACGTTGGGCAATAAAGTGGCATATCATCACAAACATGCCGTACAAACTGTCATTAATTCACACTGTTTTGTCGAGCCCAAAGGATATCTGCACTTACCTCCTACTGATTAGAAGCATGGCACACAAGCATATTCTTGCTCTACTTCAAAATAAAAGCCATTTTTGACTGCACCTTTAATGGATCAACATCTTTTTCCATAAAAACTCACAAGGAACAAATCATTCGCCTCTGTTTGTAATAAATCTTTCCCGACACACTTTTTGTGTCACAGAGGTGAGTTATCGGAGATGTGGCTGCGCCTCCACCGCCAGCTGCCTCATCAACGGAGTGGCTGCGATAACGATCTGTGAGGCAGACAGCGAGGCTCAGGGACGGATTAGACCACAGCACTGCGTACAGTAATAACAGCTGCTGCCGTGGAAATGCCCCGCAGTCACCGAACGGGAACAAAACTGCTACTCAGCTCCACAGGCCAGAAGGGAAAAGACTGATAGAGCGCATTGCCTTTCCATTTTTCCTTACTTATCCAATTTTCTCCCATCTTTTGATTGCTTTTCTCATTATGGCCGAGCAGAGTAATTGGAATCCCCCCGCTCCAGCTGTGCAACGGTTTGATGTGTTGAAGAGCTACATGTTGAATAAGCAAGTTGGCAAACAGGCAACATAATGAGGCTGTAAACTATTTAATTGTTGAAAAAGACGCACAAAATCTGGATTTTGTAAGGAGCTATATGCAGCGGACTGATATCTACGCTCAAGGAACAACAGAAGTTTTCGCTCTCATGGTTTAACATTTGAAGGTGAACCTGTGTGTGGTGTGTGTGTGTGTGTGTGTGTGTGGTGTGTGTGTGTGTGTGTGTGTGTGTAATATTTGTCTGTCATTTACTCACCAGCAGCTCCTGGCCTCCTCCTGCTCTTTCCACACTCAAGTGTTCATCTGAGCCCTTTAGCTTCCTCACCTGAAACAAAAAGCATAAACTAAGTAAAAAAGAAGAAAACCTATTTGAAAAAAGCAGCTGCTTCCAAAGAGCGAAGAACAGTAGAAAAAAAATGTATAAAAATACAGATTTCATCTTAAAGTCATCTTTAAAGTTCTGCAGATTTAGTATGCAAACATAGTGAATACATACACAAGTATTTCTTTTCTATTCATGAAGCTAAAGTGAAAAAGATGCCAGGAAAATCACTACACTCAAAAATCTTTGCATTACAAGTAAAATATTATGGTGATTAAAATCTAAATCTAAAAGTTTGTTTCTCTTTTTATCCTGTAGGCTTTATCTATGTTCAAGAATATAAATTAGCCCAGAAGTCCACTTAGCAACCCCTTGGCAATGTGTATCACTGGTGGGTTGATATCATTCGCAAAGATAGTACCTCAGAATACTTTGGTATCTAGCAGATTACTGCATTTGACCTTAGCTTTCATGGAAGATCCCAAATTGTTTGGAAAACAAAGAGTAAAACTTGGAAAAAGTCCAAAACAAACCAGAAATCAGAAACCTCACCCTCAGAGCAAAAGTTGTTACCTTACTGCTGCAATTTTACGAGGCACAAAAGAGATAACTCAAAAGATAAACGCTGTGAACTCTACATATTCCAGCGTTGCAGTACCAGATAGCGATAGCCTCAAACAAGCTTCTCCAAACTAACAGTTTGTACAGATGTTCATATAATGAAGTGGCTAATAGCATCAGCTCTAAACTTTACTCAAAAAACAAACGATGAAGTACATTCTGAGTAACTGCAATCTGACGCAAAAACCTAACTTTAATACCAAAAGTTTGCAGAAATAACACAGTTTGGATTTTTTCTCTTGTTCATGCACTGCTGATTTTCACACTGTCACCACCGGCTGTGGAGCTCCACAAGGAGCTCTATAACAAGCCTCATTCTCCACTGGATCAGACAAATGGGGATACACCCCACAGAGATACAGGCAGCACACACACACCGACACACATAGAACTAATCCCTTGACGACCACACTAAACCCCCAAAGAAGCAATGGCCCAAACATTATTCCATGAAATCCATATTTGGAAAAAAAATACAGTTTTTGATGAAGGTAGTTATAATGCACCCAACTCAGTAATCCATCTGGAGTGAGCATACAGAGATAAGAAGAGGACAGTGACGCCAGGGACTCTTAGCTGCACATGCATCCTTTATTAAAGCAGCAGGAGCGCTCTACTACACGATATTTCCCTAAATCACTAAATCAAAGGAAGGACTAAAAATATTGTCAGATTAATCAGCAGGCAAAGCTTCACAAGACAGATGAGATGAGTTGGGCAAAGGGTGTCAGCCTCACTTTTGTTGCCGTTTTCATTTTATTTCTTGCGTACATTAACACATTTCTGTATGTCTCGTTCACTTTCTTTTTCATATTATTTGTTTCCTTTTAGAATGAGTCGCTCACAAAGTCAGAGGCACATAGTTCATCTGGAAACGTAACAGTACTTGTTGTCGGCAGAGATGTGGCATTTATCTGGATGCCATTTAATAAAGTCTTCCGACTGCAGATATGCTCACTGTGATGAGCATTCATAGGGCGAGTGCAGAGAAGAATCGGAAAATGTAACAAACCTCTGTAAATCACCCGAAAGAAGATGCCACGCGCAGTGTGTCGAGGTTAAAACTATTCAGCACTATTACTTTCATGTCATCCATTTCAGTTTGTTTCATCACCATCCAAGATCATTGTCAAATAAGTACAAGAGCCAATGTACTACACTCACTTTGAAATTCAGGATGCAGCCGGAGTTCATTGTTGTTTATCCTGCTATAACACAAACGCTTTGGGAAGCTATAACCCAATAACTCTTTGAAGTCACTTGTTTTTTGTTTTTAAAGAAGCGGAAAAAATGATATTTTAGTGCACTATGACTACGAATCAATGACAGGAAGAAATAATAAAAACAGTAGTAGCTCATCTGGCTCACAATCCATAGCAAGTCACAGGTTATTGTAGCGCGCGAAGTGCTGAAAGAAAGATTTTGTTGTCAATTAAAATCAACTGAGAAGTTAAGGAAGCTCGCAAACAGCCAAATCTGGGACAAATTAATCCAGTTCACGACTAAATAAGATCAGGAGTATTATGATCTAGACTGTATCTTGTGATGGGTCGTTAATTAAGAGACCAATTGAAACTTAAAATGACAGGAAGAAATCTGTCACTTTTCCATTTACTCAAAGCCAGCCGCTTAAAAGCAGAATAAAAAGAAAGAGGGCAGGAATTCCTTTAGGTACGCTGCACAGAGTTTTCCACCTGAGGAAAATCCTACTCCTGTCAAAAACAAATAAACAAAAACAACAAAAAAAACTTTGTACTGAACCCAGTATGAGTTTGCAACAGTATTCTATTTCAGGCCTTTATAAACAGACACACAACAGAACATTAATCTCGAGGGAAATGTCAAGGTTCTCTGCTGACTTATCTTCCTCAGCAACAGACACCAAGAGCTTAGACCAGGGTCATGTTTATAACATGTTTCTGTGTCTGTGTGTGTGTGTGTGTTTTACCTTGGCACTGCTGTCAGAGTGACGTCTGGCACATGCTTGGAGCTGGCTGATCCAAAACTGCTGCTCCTTGGCATCAGAGGCTACAGAAAAACACACACAGAACAAAAACTAATTAAAAAAATTAAAACCCATATGCTCCTGACTCGACTAACAAACTAGTGCATGAGTTCAGGTGCCGATCAATACACAGCTATAAGAAAGCCTTCAAGTGTCCACATCTACCAATGGTTAACAAGCACTTATTATCGGCATGAAGTGAGACAGAGTCACGGCTGCAGACAGGGGACTTTATTAAGGGTTCAAGACACTGAAATGCAGCCCAACTGCATTTCAGTGTTTTTGCTAAACTGTCTTAGTGTAAACACAACACTCGTCCATCTGCCTTTTTTATGCTTGAATAATTCATAGATCAGTGTTAAGTGGCTTAAGGATACATTGCAGTGAAAATGCCCAGGTGCAAGCACTGGAACCTAATCAGCCTTTGCCTTAATAAATAACCATTTCAAAACTGAAATTTATTGACTAATGAGTTAATGATTAGTAAATCATCCCAGATTTATATGTTATCTATTTACTCACATGTAAATGGTTTTAGTTCCTTCACAGGATGAGACCATTAGATCAAATCCAAGTGAAACTACACAGTGACTAAGGGTTTAGCATCAAACAAGGCAAAGATGTTCCCACACATGTTTTACAGTGCTTCAAACAGACAACGTAAACAAGTTGGTTTTACCTTTTTTAAACAACCAGCAGCCTTCTTTACTTTATGTTAAATCAAAATTCTTAAGCAAGTTTAACCAAAGACTTAATTAACCCCAAAAGGCAGAAATGAGTCGGTATGCCGCAAAAAACAAAGAGCAGAGAATAAAACAGCCAACACACAGTTAGCTTAGCTTATCCTCGTTCTGCCAAAGATAAAAAATAAATAAATAAATAAATAAAAAAAAAATCAACCTACTAGCGCCTCAAAAGCTAGCTAATTAACATGTTTCATAGGTTTCATTCTCCAGCTGTGGCACTAAACTGCTACTAAAAAGTAGCCACGCACAAATCCCCACATGACCCCGTTACACTTTTCGATTTGTATGGATCAAACATGTTAAACAGTGGTGCAGCATAGCAATGCAGAATTATGCTCTTTGCTTTCCAGGCTTTTTGCTAAGCTAAGCCTAATGGGTGTAGCTACAACAGAGTTCAGGGTACACAAGTGTAAAATAAATAAGGATCTAGATTACGGTTTGAGATGGAGTGAACCGGCTACTGCTTTAAGCTACAAACTTCGCCAAAGGGCGATGAGGGCTGCAAATGAGGCATCAGTGAGGTCAACCTGCAGGATGCCAGCAATCTCATTTGCTTTTGAATGATCACTGAACTTGCTGACTGTGTTCCTGAATATTTGATCATGTTACTTTCTGAATGATGTCCTGAGGGCTGCTATCACATTTGAACCTCTTCATTTTCCTGTCCACGCCAAATTGAACACTCAGTATTCAAGAAACACCAGCAACTCATTCGGCCACTTCAGCTTGCATGTGTTTTTTCCCTCAGCACAGAAACAATCCAGGCCGCTATCCAAACACAAACCGCCAGATTTGCTGACTAATGCAGTGAGTTGCAGCCTCAGGCTGAAGAAGACGCTGACTGTCTGCTTGCTTTGACCTCTTCCAGGGCAGAACGGAAATCCACCTGATCTCATTTCACTGACTAATTATTAGAGAAAAAATAACTGTGATGGCACTGATAAAAGTAAGACAGCAGGTCAACTCGAGCTGGAGTACAAACAGTAGAAAAAAGCTTTGATGCACGGAGGCCAGATGTCATTCTGCACTTCTTTTATTTCAATATAGCAAACAATAGAAAGGAACCAAAAAAACCATTTTACATTATGAAGTAAAATGCCTTTAAATTCATTAAAATACACCTGAAACAGGTATGACCTGATGATAAACTAAAAAAAATGTTAGGCATATCATTAAAAACTTCTGTAACCACATGTGACCGACTATGCCATAAAATAAAGACGCTCATTCAACATTTGGGCCAATAAAACCTCATATGACTGTGACATATCACATAAATCACATAAATCTGTTGTCCATCACTCACTTTGATCCCTTTCCTCAGGACGCACCTGATACACATTCCAGCCGTTAGCCTACCTAGCTAGTGACAACAGATGCATTTTTACTACTTTACTTTACTACAAGTGGGGCTAAGCCCAAATCAACTAAACTAATCAAAGTCATCTCAACTTTGGTTTAACTGAGAACAGCAACAGAAAACAAAAATGTGTCACCTGTCACCTGAAGTCATGAATCCAGCTAAGCTAAAGCTGCTTTTCATCACAAAGCACCTGGAGCTTAAAGACCTTGAACCGTGAAACGTTGAAGAATACAAGCTCAGGAAAGCAACTTTAGAAAAAGCACATATTTCTTTTTTGGCAGCTGAACAAATTGGAAAAAGTAAGCAGCCACACTCAGCTGGACAAGAACATATTCATCCAGTGGCGGTTGATAATGTGTGAATTTGTGCCTGTGACAGAACCAGCTAGTAAACAAAGTTGCACTGCTTGTGAGGATGAGGACTGCGCTAACATTCACTCACAGCTGCTAGATAGACTGTGCTCATATTAGCAATTTCTCTGTTCCACTTTACAAAACAGATACTTCTCTCAACTCTTTTGGTGCAGTCAAGGGGACAATTTGTAGAGCTTTCTGTTCTACAATCTTCTGTTGTTTAACTTTGGTGAGTCTGCATAATTAAACCCTCACCTTCCTGTTCTCAGCTGATAAGAAAGGCACCTTTTTTGGGTCAGAGATGGTTGTGTGTGAAAATCACAGAATTTTCCTAAACGCTCAGTCCAGGCTGTCTGGCACCAACAACCAGGCCACATTCAGGGTCATCGTGACCATGTCTGCATGCATAAATGTACCGAGTTGCTGGCTTGTGATTGGCTGCTTATAGATATATGATATATGCAACTAAGCAACTAAAGTGGCTGGCAAGTGTGTATGCTCACATGGCAGAAAAATAAGGAAAGGCATAAAAGGCTAATAAAAAAGAAACCCCAATAACTCCTTAGATTTTATGCTTATCTGTTTAAGAGCCATTTCATTCTGCTTTTTGTTCTAATTATGCAGGTCACACAATAAAAATAATGCTGTAAAGTCTGTCCAGATGCCAACTTTACCAAACGGTCCATCTGAGGCTCACAGCAGCACTTGGGAGCATCTTTGCGGAACAGAAAAACAGGAGTGGGACACCTAAAGTCTTTACAAAATCCTCGCATGAATGAGCACAATAGGCCCACAAGACTTATTTATAGATCACAGCGTAAACACTGCTTCAAGTTTACCAGAAAGATGGGCTTCATTCAGATTTAAACTACTACACTGAACTCTGAATGTTTTGAGTTCAATGAGCCAGAACAGCGAGAAAAAAAACACACAGAGAAAGTTCAAACTGAACATCCCTCACAACTTCAAATATTCTGCTGCGTTTAGTGACTGACTAAGACATAACTGTCAGAAGAAAAGATAAAATGCACATAAGCACAAAGTAAACTGAGGCATAACTAAAGTTTTTATTACTTATAAATCTCAGCTGAACCTGAACCAGAACAGCACTCCCACTCTGCACACGCTGAATTAAACATGTGTCTGAAGCAGCAGGTGCCAGCCTCGAAAGGTATGTATATTTATTCCGGACTGTTCAGTGCACGGCACTTGGTTCAGTGTAAGGTTTCCTTATTTCATGCCAGCCACCGAGCCAAAAAGTTTCTGTCAGAAGTCTATTCGTGTTGGCACATCTGCAGCATGAGAATAAAATTTCAAGATCACAAGCTCCAACCAAAATGCTCTGGAAGAGCAGCAGTCGCATCAAAAATAAGCTATAGCATGCCAACAGGATTAGCGCTGACATCTGAACGAACGCTGTGCCAGTTTTATTAAACACGTACAATGTGTGAAGTCATGCTACGTGTTCTTTTTCACTTTTAATCAAACTTGCTCCTTAGTCAGAAACCCAGGCTCCCAGGAGGTGCCAACTAACTATTTCAAAGGCAATGGATGTGTCCTCAGTGCTGGCAAGAAGAAAATGCAGCAGTGGTTTGGGCAACTGTTAACCTATTCCTGGCGTTCTGGATTTACTGGTTAATCTCATCATAGTAATACAAAAAAAAAAAATCATTACCTTCACCAAGAAGGCTTGTTTTTGGAGGTGTTTGCATCCATGCCATTGTGTCTGCAAACACAATAGCTCGAAAAGAGTTCATTCTGATACAACAGTGTAGGTGTAGTTTAGGTGTAGGTGTGGAGTGGGATCATGTTAATGCTAATATATCGACATTTGCCAGACATCCACCAAGGTGTTCAAGGTCAACTGAATAATTTAATGATCACAAATTGACAAAAAGGCTCATAACTTAGAAACTGATTCTTACAAGTGTGTTGTGTGTTGTCAACAGATAGAAAGTACTGTGTAAGGATTTCAAATATCATGTGATATTTGACCTCTGAGCTGATCTGATCTGAAGGTAAAAGTGAATCCTTTTTAAAACTATGCTTCTTACTGCAGTTGTTTGTATTGAAAACATTCATTTATATGGGGAATGACATACGGGAATTCTAAATATCTGATTATTAACTCTGACCTCTTCTTCAAGGTCATATAAGGTAAAACCATAAGAACTGTAAGAAATTATACTTGTATATGGGAATTTCATATATCACATTCTTGTTTGCATCAACATATCATGTCATCTCACTTTTACATTTGACATCGACGTTTTTGCCAGTTTGACCGAAAAAGCATTGTCAAGAGAAAGAGAAATATATTGGAGAATAATGTTATGGAGTTTAATCCTCACAAACACCTGTTATCTATCATCCACTTCTACATAATGTACCAAGTACAATGCTATTCCCTTCACAGTGAATACTTCCCAAGAGTGAGTAAGCTTGGTGGAGGTTTGCGCTCTTGGAGTGCTTCTTGTATTAAAATATGTGACGCTGCATGTAAAACCAGAAAAAAAAAGTCAAATGTATTTTCTTTAACTTTTTGTAACGTTTCTAAATTT